CATCTCCCGGTTATTTGCGGACCCATCTCCGGGTTGCGGACCCATCTCCGGGTTATTTGTGGACCCATCTCCCGGTTATTTGCGGACCCATCTCCCGGTTATTTGCGGACCCATCTCCCGGTTATTTGTGGACCCATCTCCCGGTCATTTGTGGCAACTTGAGGACCCATCTCCCGGTCATTTGTGGCAACTTGAGAAATTGTGCTAACGTTCGCTCTTCGGTGAGGTTGGGCTATGCCATTTCGGGCTCCTTTTCGGTTTCGGTCCCCAGGGGAAGGCAGGGATTCCATCTTGCAGGGACGGCCCCGATAGGTAGATGGCCCTGGACTTGCCCACAGGCCAGGCGATTTCGCAGGATGCTTGCTTGCAGTGCAGGTTTGGGGTGGTTGTCATTTTAGCCGCTCCCCGCGTTTGAGTCGCGGTTTGCATTGCTGGTGTTGAGTGCGCCTCCTCTTGCTACTGGTAGTAACGATGTGTGCGAGACGTTGGGCAAAGGAAGAGCGCACGTGCACGTGACGCCTTGAGCGCTGCGTGGGTGTCTCTCGTCTCGTCTTCGTCTGAGCTTGTACCACAGCCGTCGACGATGGCAATTACTACAACGCTTTCGATGCTCATCTGTAGCAGTAGCAGGAATGTGTAGCCCACGCGAGCGAACCATCCATTTGTTGGCTACGACACTTCCTTGCTCGGCTTTTTTTTTCTTGCCGGAGCGCGTTTCCGCAAAGGGGGGAGGTGGAACAACCCTTCCTTCTCCCGCGCTTCGGCGCAACATGGACACGTAGGCGCCGAAAGTCCATACTGTGTCCCTTTTCGCGCTCTTCGGCGAAACATGGGCACGTAGGCGCACAAAAGCAATATTGTATTGCACATGAGTAAGAGAGAGAGAGAGAGAGAGAGAGAGAGAGAGGGGCGAGGCGGAGTGTTCGGATGTGGTTAGTATAGAGAGAGGGTTGTGCCGCTGACTCAGCCTCGGAACTGTTAGCGAAAGTCGAACTGAAGACGTGGTGGGGTGGGGGAGATATAGCGGAGCGCGGTTATTCTTCGTGAGACGCGCGGCGCTTGTGCTGCTGCTGCCAACGGGAGGCTGTCTTTGTGATTGATTCTACTTGTTTTTGTGTTCTGATACTGATAATTATCACGCTGATCAAAATAGTTGGACGTGTGAGGAGGAGGAGGACCAGTGTGTTTGGTCTATGTATTGGCGTTCGAGGTGCTGTTTGAAGTGCCGCCACCATGGCTGGGCGCGGATTGGTTCTGACAAAACCTGCTTGGCTGAAGGCAGCGGAGGAGCAGGCAGCGAAAGAGGAGGAGGAGAAAGCCGCCGCCGCCAGGAAGGCTTTTGAGGCTACCTTTGCGGATGTCAATCAGAAGGCTAACGGCACGGCATCTGACAGCGACGGCGAGTCGGAAGAGAAGGCGGTCAGCAATCCAATTGGACCGGTAGATCCGAGCAAATGCACGGCGGCCGGGACGGGAGTGGGGGGGGGGGCGGCGGGCTCGGCGGCGTCCTTCGTGGTTGTGACGAAGGACCGCGAGGGGCGGCGCGTGCCGACGGGAGGAGCGCAAATCAAGGTTCAAGTGACCCCTGGAACTGCCGTTGGGGGTCCTGCTCAAGAAGCCATTGTGAAGGACCATGGCGATGGCACCTACACTGTGACCTATGCCGTGGCGAAAAGGGGAGATTACATGATAAGCGTGACTTGTAATGGGACGTCAATACAAGGGAGCCCTTTCCCGGTATTCTTCAGCGGGGGACCGGCGGCGGGAAGCGGGGGAATGAATGCGGCGAGCGTGGCGGCGGCGGCGGCCGCCGCTGCGTCGACGGCGGGGCTCATTCAGCAGCCGTCAACGCCCATTCTGGGCAACTCTCCAATGCCCGTGATGAATGGGGTGGGTGGTGGTGGGCTGAATCCGTTCCAGGGTATGGTGCAGGGGATGTTCCCAGGGGGGTTCCCAGGGGTCAATTTCCCGGGAATTCTTCCAGGGGCCTCGGGGGGGGCTATTCTCCCTGGCTTGGGAGCTAGTCTAGGGGAGGTGTGCCGGGATTACCTGAATGGGAGGTGCACGAGAAGCGACTGCAAATACAACCACCCGCCCCAGCCTCAGCTCATGGCAGCCATCGCCGCGGGGAGCACTGTAGGCGGACTGAGCCAGATGTCCATGGCAACATCGGCCGCTGCTATGGCCGCCGCGCAGAGCATCGCGGCTGCGCAGGCTATTCAAGCGCAGCAAGCCGCGCAGGCCGCACAGGCGGCGCAGGTCGTGCAGGCAGCACAGGCCGCCCACCAGGCCGCCGCCCAACAGGCGGCCGCTCAGCAGGCCGCACAGCAGCCGCTCGCCCAAGCAGGTACAATGTTGTGCCAACCCCTTTTTCCTCCCGTTTGGTCTCACCTCCTCCTCCTCCCCTTCTCCCGCTCGCTCCCACGTCTCCACCCCCTTGATCTCCTTATTTTCGCCTCTGCATGTTTCCTCTCGTCCTTCTCCCTCATCCGTCTTCTGCATGCAATTCTGTCCCCATTGCCTCAAAACATGCCTCGTTGGCTTAATCGGTGTGTTGCCGCACAGCAGTCGCTCATCCTTTGGCATGCAAAATCTGAGGGCTTAATCGGTGTGTTGCCGCACAGCAGTCGCTCATCCTTTGGCATGCAAAATCTGAGGGCTTAATCGATGTGTTGCCGCACAGCAGCGCCACCTGTGTAGCTAATCAACTACTACTTAGGAAGCTGTTGGCGGGAAAACGTTACGTAACCGCGGGAAATCTGTTGGCGGGAATCACTTAGGAAGCTAGTATGGAATGGAAAAGCGGGATTACCGATTTCAGACGGCGATTTCAAGGCGGGAATGATTCCGGCGGGAGGGTTGTCCACGAGTTTTTCAGTTTTTCTCGTCTTCCAAACGACGATTTCGCGGCAGTCGTTTGTCCGCTTTCGATAGGGAGAATCACTCGGCTCAAATTGACATCCAGCATCTAGTTACGGTTTGAACTGGCGCTCTTTTTTTCCATAACGTTGTTTCTTCCTTGCCGTTCGTCGCCAATCTCTCGTTTCGTTTTCTCTTTGCTCTCGTCTGTACATGCGGAGAAGTAATGCATATCTATGGATGCTTGTACGAGAAGCATCCAGTCTATGGCCACTGTTTTTTTTTCCACTTCTGTTCCCCATTCCCGCTCGCACGTCTCTTCTCATCCTACGTTTTCCGCTACTGTCTGTTTCCCCCGTCTTACCGCCGCGTTTTCCTCCTCCTTTTCACTTCTCTCCTGTTTGCTCCGCTTCATTGTTTTGCTTCCAGTCTAGTCTATATTTTGCTATTTTTGCCGCTTTCTTTCTTTCTTTACGGTGCTGTGTCTCCCTTACTTCAGCGCCCTCGTTCCCTCCCGTCTGGTGAACTATCTGTTTGCCGTGTTCTTCCTCTTTATGTTGCATGTTGTTATTTCGTCCTTTCTTCTCTCGTTTCTCGCCCTGGCCTACCTCTTTTTGCCTATGGAGCCCCCTCCTTCTCCTTTTCTCTGCTTCGCTGTTGCTCTCTATTGTCTTTCTTGCACATTGTTCGTTTTCTTTCCAGTCGTGGCGACTATACTCTCCTCTCTCTCCCTTCCCTCTTTTTCTCTTCCGCCCCTCTTTCCTCCGCGCCCTGTTCGCATTCTCCTTCTCGCTTCTCGTTCTCTCTCTCTCTCTCTCTCGTCTTCCTGATTCTCTTCGTCTCTGGTCAGTTTCTGTTAAGTTTTCCTCCTGTCTACTCCACTGGTTGTCCCCTTCACCATGCCTGTTCTTGACCCTCATTTTTCATTCATTCCGCAGTTTTCTGGTGCCGTTCTCTCTACCACCGCCCTCATTTCTTTGGCATTTCCCTCAATCTCACCCTACAATGACCCCGGCGGACTTTCTCTTGTTCCCTTCTCTTTTTTTTTTTTCGTCCGTTGGGTTTGTGCCGCGATACGCGTTTCTGGCGGGCTTTTCTTTCCCTTTCCTTCGTCGGAAAACAATAATACCCATTTGCACCTTTGTCCCCCAGTGGCCTGTCCACGTTGCCTTTCTCTCTTCCTTCCGTCGGTTCTGCGATCTATCTCCATCTGTCTTTCTTCCTGTGATGCGGACGTTTGCTTTTCTGGTCCGACCTCCCGCGCTGCCGCGGTTTCTTCGTCTTCTCTCCCCCATTTTCTCCCACGCCCTCTCTCTCTCTCTCTCTCGGTTCTGCGATCTATCTCCAACTGTCTCTCTTCGTGTGATGCGGACGCTTGCTTTTCTTCTCCGGTCTCCCGCGATGGCGCGGTTTCTTCGTCTTCTCTCCCTCGTTTTCTCCCACTCTTTCTCTCTCTCGTTGCCATCACGCGGGTTCGTTTTCCTGTCGAAGAGTTTGCTATGTGCACAGTTTCCCAGGACATCTCTCCGTTTTCTCTCTCATGCACCCTCTCTGCCTCCCTTCGTTTCACTATTTTGCCGTTTACAAATAAAAATTCCGTATGCCCGATAACATTCCGCTGTCTTCGATTGTCCCATCTTCTCTTTCCGCATTTTAGCCCTCCCCTCTTACGCCTTCCCCACTTACGCCTTCCCCGCCCGTTTATTAACCTAGTTACAGCGTGAGGGCTCAGCCATTCGTTTTACTCGGTAGTGTGGTTTTCTCCTTTTCCGACAATTTGGATTGGTTATAACATTGATCCCGATAAACAGTTCCCCCCCCCCCCCCCCTTTAGTAAATACAATCCGAGGGAACGTCTGTTCTGTTCAACCCTTTGGGCACAGCCCAAAGTTCACACTCCATTGTGTGGTTTTCTCCGTTTCCCACAATTTGGGACTGGGTTCTTCCCCCCTCTCCAGTTTCGCTGCACCCCTTTATCGACCCTCTCTGTTCCCACCGGGTGCTCGATCTCATTTGAACTATAGTCTAGTCTTCCACGTCCTGTCGCGTTGCACTTTCTGTTAGATGAATCTCTACCCTCCGTTCCTCTCCTCTCTCCCTCCCTCCTGCTCCTTTTCCCTCTCGGTCGTCTCTTATTCCTCTACGCCCCGGCATGCCCGAGCGTCCACTTTCCGTGTCATCTCTTTGTCTGCCTGTTTGTCTTTCTTCTATTCCCCTCCCCCCCCCCCCCCCCCCCCCCCCCCCCCCCCTCCTGCTCACGCGTATGCCAGTGCGTGAGTTGTTCTGTATTGACATTTGCGTTTGGACACTGGGCTTTTGTCTTTCGAAATTTTCCGCCCTATGTATCCCAATCGCATTTGATGCCCAGGGTGTTCACAGGCATCCCTTCTACTCGATTTCTGCAGCCAAGGCCCCCCTCATTTTGCTGCAATTATGGTTCCCAGCCTTGGGCTTCGTCGATCCAAATCCTTTCCAGCTCGTCTTCCCTGTGCGTGTAGCGCGGGTTGATGTCCGTTTTCTCCCCGTGATAATCTCTTGCCCTCGTTTTCTGCTTTCCTCTGCGCCGTCCTCTCGGTTTTACTCTATTTACTCTGTACCTTGCTCTGTTTTTTTTTTCTGCTGTACTCTGTGCCTTGCTCTCGTTTTTCTGCTTTACTCTGTGGCTCCTGCGCACTACTATCTTCATCTGTTTCAAAGCTTAACCCCTTGTGTTCGGTCACCTCTCCTCTCGCTTTCGTCTCCCCTGCTGGTTTTGGCGTTCTTCCTTGTTCTGTTTTTTGTATGCGTCTCTGTCTACCGCTATGTGGAAAGTTTGATTGCTAGTTTCGACTTTGACCCCGGGCGTGATTGCTAGTTTCGACCTTGACCCGGGGCGGTAAGCCCATCTGTCTCTTGCCGACTAAGCATACACGGTATCTGAGCTATGGTGACAATCGCCGCCGCCGATGAACCCCGGACCGATGCGATTATGGTGACAAGCGCCATCAATCAGATGGCCAGAATAACACAATTCTGAATCACCTGGGGCCTGTCAGCCGCTTCAATGATGATATCTCAAGGGCATCGCCCTATTTTTTTTTTTTTAATTAAAAAAAGATCCGCGTCCCTTTTAGGGCGTCCGTACGCAGTTTCTTCTCCCCTGATTGATTCTGTCGGTGATCACCGACGAATGAATTCAGGAAAGTCCTGTCATATGAGTAATGGTCACCGTGATTGCATCTGACATGCTGATTTTCTGTCCCCCCCCCCTGGTTGTCCTCCCTGTGAGATTTTCTATTCGTGATTTCTTCTGTGCTAGAAAACCTTTCCTTGTTGGGTCAGCCTCAGCACGTTTGTTGGCTCTTTCAGGTGTTTTTCAGGTGACATGAGAGTCTTACACATGGACGGAGGGAGTCCTCGTTCTCTCTCTCTCGTTTGCCCTTGCTATCTATCGTCTCCTATTCAGTCGCAAACTGCGCACTAGCGCCGTCTCCCTTCCAACTCCTGAGAGAGAGAGACACAGAGAGAGAGAGAGAGAGAGAGAGAGAGAGAGAGAGAGAGAGAGGTTGCTCTCTCTCTTCATTTGAAACGACTTACTGCCCAATGAGCTCCTGGGCTGGCGTTTTCTTCAGGGATGTGTTAGCGTTGTTTGATCGGGTAGCCTAGAGCCGTCTCCCTTCCAACTCCTGAGAGAGAGAGAGAGAGAGAGAGAGAGAGCTCCTTTCGTCATTTGAGACGACTGACTGCCCAGAGAGCTCCTGGACTGGCGTTTTCTTCACGGATGTGTTAGCGTCGTTTGATCGGGTAGCCTCGATTGACATTTGAAACGACATACTGCCCAGTGAGCTCCTGGGGAATTGTGTGCTCTCTCTTTCTCTCACGATGTCGTCCGTCGTCGCGGCCTTCGACGGCAATAGCTGAACCAGGGGGGTGAAGGACAGGCTAGCGACGGTAGATAACCGCGGAATCATTGTTTGCTGTTTGCGTTGATCTTGGGGTCTCGATCTGTGGAAAGTTCTCGGGATATTGGTGTTTGTCCTAGCGCACAGTCAGCGTGAAAGCGGTCTGTCTGCACGGGGTAGAAGAAGATGCATCCTTGGACCAATTCGTTGGGTGTTGGGACTTTTTTGTTTTTTTTTGAAGTCCAAACAACTCATCGTCCGACATGTACTGATGTTCAGTGTGCTTGCTACCTAGCTCTCTCTCAGATGCAAGCCGGCAAAAAGCTCGGTGCGGAGCCAGCAGCATCTATGATATGCATAAACCCAAGAAATGAGGTGCACGGACGATGACGTCACACTTAAGTCAGTGCTGCACTGATTAGACTTGGGCTCTCGCTACAACCAGTCGCCAGATCTGAAAAATGCGTCTGTATCTTCCCGTTATAATGTACTGATACACGTCAGTTTTGCATTTGGTGAGTTGTGTAGCAAGCGGCTGATTTTTTCCCTGAAAAAGGGTCTCGTTGCAGTACTCTCCACTCTTCTGGGAAATCGGAGAGTACGCGGA